AAAGGTCGATCTTACCAGATGAGGCTGATTTCAACAAGGATTCATTGGGGTCGCAGGGCCGTGCGCCGAGAACCTATTCGCACAAATCTACAACCACAGCTCTAAGGCAACTCCCACACAGCCTCCGGTGGAACAACTTATGAATCCCTTCCGCTCGCCTCTTCAAACGAAACGAAATGTACTCCAACATCAAATTATTAATGGATTCTTCGAAACCCAGTTTTTCTACATTGCCATATAATTTTTCGCAAAGATGGGAGCCAGGCAAGACCCCATCACCAGTCCTTGTAGAAGTGGGTTGACCTCGTTGTCGCAACTTAGTCTTGTTGTCAAGGCGACTATGTAGAACGCACCTAGTCCGAAGTCGTCTGCCATGGTAGTTGTCATGATTCCCAGGAAGATTCCTGCAAGAGGCAATACTAAACCCCGAATTGTTGGTTAGATGCATGGATGACTATTTCGTCATCCAGCCTCATGGTAAGGAAAGTTTAGAGAGTTTTCTACTTTCACTCAGGAAACCTGAAAGAAACTTTAGGTTTAAAATGGAAATGGAAGAAAATAAGTCCTTACCCTTTCTGGATGTTCTCATAATTTGAGAAGAGGGTAGGTTAGAAAGATATATTTATATGAAGCCAATGTATGTTGGCTCCGCTTTATTTTCTTTCCAACCATAGCTATAAAATTAAGGTTGGAATTTGGAAGTCAATGATTATTAGGAGTATGGGGCTAGCGGATAGCAAATATTTGACCAAATAGTTAAAACGGCTGACAAATTTATTCCTGGAAAGTAATTACCCATTGGGGCTTATTTAGAATAATATCTCTTTACTGAGGAATACATTTTCAGACGGCGACCATTTAGTCAAAAATAGACAGGCTGTGACCATTTCCCATGTCTTAATTTTACCAACATGCCTTCTTTAAAAAAATGATAGGCGAATTACTAAAGTGGGGGATAAAAACAGTGTTCAAAGAAATCCACACACTTATTTTAAAGAGAAATATGATCCATTATCGAGATCCGGCTGCTAAAAGATTGTTTGCTTATCTGGTCGATGTTATGTTGCTGAGACATGCCGACCTATTCGACAAAGATTGGGACAACACAAAAATGCTTGTAAAGGAAACTGGATAACGGTCAGAAGTGGCCGAACACATGGTAGAAACTGAACATGGGATAGAATGGTCTCAAAATAGTAAGTTTGCTGACTATGGTACGTCTGCGGTTAAAATAAAGAAAGAGGTTACACAAATTAATAGCGTAGGAAATACATTGAATGTGAGGAACGGTGGTAGAAAGTTGAGTATGAACTACTTATGCTTGATTAATAGATTGACGGAGAGAAGTGTTGAACCGCCATCCAAAGATAATTAACAAAACCATTCTATATTGATCTGTTTTTAGGTGAGGCTATATAAGAGGTAAGATAGAGCCGGATAGTATTCTTGTCAGTGTTAACTTGAGAATTTTAAAAGAATAAGTCTCAGCTTTGATGATATCCATCATTTGATGGACGAGAGCTCAGCCCATTTTCACATGAAAAGAGAGAGGTCTGGTGGACTAAGCCAATCTCAACGTCGTATAAAAGCCAAACGGCTGCAGTACAACGGGATTCAATCGCCCTATTTTGGGGAGATCGACCTTCGAATCTCGTCTTCGCATAATTTCAGATGAAATGAAAGTCACAACAATAATGTTATCTCAGAAGATTCATCGAAACCCAATTACTCTTCATATCTACTTGAGGGTGGTTTCCTGTTCCGTTGTAAATAAGAAGTTCGCTTTTCCAAAGTAAAATGAAGTTATATGAAATTATTTTCTTCAATGGATGTCTCCATTGTAGTTAAAACTTTTACGACCGGACGAAGTTGCATTTAACTTGCTGACCAGCACTTTTTAACACAATAAATTCAAAATTCCCATGCCTAGCAAAACCGGAGAAGATTGAAAGAGAAATGATAAAGATGGGTCAATGGTATCGATGAGTTTTAGATAATAGACCAAGTAATCATTATAGTAAAATCTATAAGCACATGTCATTGAATTTTAAATGTATTTATAGAAGTAGGTTGACCTCGTTTTCTACACATCTTCAAATGTATTTGTTGACAAGTTAGGCAAGAATTAAGAGGACATAAACGCAAGTATCCTTAACAGATGCAGAGAAAAGAAAAAACTGTATCCAAGATCATCTTTATTTTTTTCAATGTGAAACAACAGTAAAACTCAATTAATGGCGCAGAGATGTTAATCTCAAGAGTATAAGGGAAAACAGGCACTGAAAAAATGGTTTAAAAAACATATGGTTGTGGAAGGAAAATAAAGGAATATTATAAAAGAATGAGCAATTAAAAGGGATTATTCAAATAAAGTAGTGCAGAAAATTTGCACTATTGCCAAAGTACTCCGACTAGAAGAAGAGGGGATCATAAAGAAAATATAGGGAAAGAAGACAGGTTTTGGGAGTGTAAGTAAAAATGGACAATAAGATAAACATACCAGAGTAAAGAGTTTTGGCAAACACGCACGCAGGTATGTGCAGTTTTAGTAGTCTGTGCCACGGCTAACGACCTCCTTGCAAGTTGGCCTTAGAAGAACAGTGTGTTCAAACTGAGCTGTATAACAACCTTTGATGTCACAGAGAGGCGGGTAGGCCTCAACAATGCCAACATCGCAGAGATTGCGCAATGCCATTAGATATTTTGTCTCTCCGAGTCGATCGAGCCAGCGACGACAAAAGGCCAAGGTGCCAAAGTTTTTGTCAATTGTATTAAGCAGCTGTTTGGAACGAGACATCCTATCAAAAGAGCAAGGTTCATGATAAAGGAGAGGTTAGGTAGTCAGCGTGAGGTTGAAATTTCAGGTAAATCAGAGGCAACAGCTCTTCCAGGTTAAATTGAACTAAGACATGGAATCATTCACAGTAAGCCTACTGACTTTATACAAACATGGATAGCAAAAGAATAGTGCATAAACCAAGACTACTATTGAATTCGTTTGACCTTGTTTTCGCAACATGGTCATATTGGTAGGACTTATAGGAACGCACCTTGTCCTGAGTCCATTGTATGCATAATTATTTCCAAAATCGGACCGTAGACGTGGTACAAGGGACTCAGGACAAGGTGCGTTAATATAAGTTTTCCTACCAATATGACCATGTTGCGAAAACAAGGTCAGACAACTTCTATACAACGAAAGGAGATTGCGATCACACAAAAGGCCACACAATCTTGGGCTTCATATCTAAGACTACTATTTTTCGTATGTAAGTAGAGTTTTGAGACTGCCAGTAAATCAGTAATATAAGATGTATTCACCCTATTTGGTTTAAGATGATAAAGGACTGGCAGTAGAATTTTCCCACAATGATATGAGTAGAGCTGAGTTTCCATTGAATTTCACATAGCCTTGCTTTCCCAAAAGCTGCTCTCATCCAGAGTGGACGGCTGGGAGCGAGCGGAGATGATGAGAGGTCAAAAACAAGGTCTAATCTAACCTTTGGAATGCGTGACGCAGTTAATTTAAATCAAAATCAGTCATTTTCTCCTATAACTCATAGAAAAAGTAGTATAATAAAAGGTCCTACAACATTATACAAAACTAGTGCATGTCAGCATATTAGCAGTATAACAGAGCAGAGCTGAAACTAAATAAGGAGGAAAGTATCACTGTATTTTATTAGTAAAAACAGTGAATCAGAATTGGAATAAATTATGCAATATGATAAGAATATGATATAAAGTGAAACGATGGACAAAATAAAAAAATTGATAAAGAAAAATAAAACTCAGATAAACATAGTGAGAAATCGAATGTCTAAATCAACAACTATCCTAAACTTTAGAGTCACGTTCATTGCGTTTCAATTCATGTATAGTGATTAAT